TGTATCACACACCTCAGTCACACAGTTGTATTACACACCTCAGTCACACAGTTGTATCACACACCTCAGTCACACAGTTGTATCACATACCTCAGTCACACAGTTGGGTCACACACCTCAGTCACACAGTTGTATTACAAACCTCAGTCACACAGTTGTATCACACACCTCAGTCACACAGTTGTATCACACACCTCAGTCACACAGCTTGGTCACACAGTTGGGTCACACACCTCAGTCACACAGTTGGGTCACACACCTCAGTCACACAGTTGTATCACACACCTCAGTCACACAGTTGGGTCACACACCTCAGTCACACAGTTGTATCACACACCTCAGTCACACAGTTGTATCACACACCTGTCACACAGTTGTATCACACACCTCAGTCACACACTAATACAAGCATTGTTTAACTGCTTCTTGTTTCAAATCAAGGCTATTCCTTACTTACATCTCTGTCTCAAGACATGCAAGAATATGTTTCCCAAAACAAAAGATAAGCAGCCCAATTGAGAAATGTCTTGTGGAAATCAACTGAGCATCTTCCAGTGTCACTAAATTCTACTTGAGACGTCATCCGCAACCAGTCAAGGGAAGACACAGACACAGACCTATCCAGTTCCTCTCTGTTTGCAAATACCTACTAAACAGCATAGATCAGCAGCTCTCAAATTACATTTATCAGGGCACAGTCAGCCAATGACTGCTAATGTCTTTTCCTACAGTTCCTGGGCTGATAATGTCTCCTGCAGACATGAAGCTGATGTTGCAAGGCAGATGACAAGACCAGTCCTCACAATGATGCTGTTACCACAGAGCTGCAGATGGACAACTGATAAGCGCTTGAGTCGGGGGATTGTGAGATTTTCCTGATTTACCCATCTGTGAACTAGAGGTGGGTTGAGCTTGCAACTTATAACTGAAACTATGACAGAAGGTATACTCACCAAACTGGATGTTAGAAATTGTGCATTTTTGTTTGTTCACACCCCAATTTTCATATAGCAATGATAGTGCTATGATTGTCTGGGACCTCAAAGCAAGAAGAAGGGTCCTTTTATCTGTCAGAGACTTTAAGCTAGAGGGACGGTCCTCTTGTCTGAGATTCATAGCCAGAGGAACTGTCCTCTTGTCTGAGACTTTTAGCCAGAGGAACTGTCCTCTTGTCTGAGACTTTTAGCCAGAGGAACTGTCCTCTTGTCTGAGACTTTTAGCCAGAGGAACTGTCCTCTTGTCTGAGACTCATAGCCAGAGGAATGTTCCTACTGTCCTGAGACTTCTTGCCAGAGGACGGACCCCTTGTCTGAGACTTATCAAGTTAAAAATATTTCCTTAAAAATCCCAAACTATCAAAATTCAGCAGTTCACCTCTAGACCTATCTATGGTTCATTTGCCGTTCTTTTTTCGCTCCCATCTAAAGGTGCATCCTGTCACACAGCTGGCACCAAATTCCACATATTGAAGAAAGGTAGATAAACCATGGTGCCTTTTTGTTTGAGATTAAATTCTTGTGAAAAAATAAGACCCATATAATCAAGTTATTGCATTCAAAAACCTTTGAACTTTTGTTTTTTAAATTTCTGAAGATACCATACTTTTGGTTAATTTGATTCATCATCAAACAGAGCATGATTATTTGCTTCAGTTTTGTGTGAATGTCTCCTTTAATATTGCTGTTTTTGCTTGTTATCTGCAACTGGTTGAGATAAAACAATCATAAAAATGTTCAGACAGATTCCATAACTTGCAAACAGGAGATAGTCTGTGATAACAGTAGATTTAAACAGTAATCTGTGTTCAAAGATCAAGATCAATCCAGGTCAAGTATCAAATTAAAAAGAAAATTGAATGCAATGTCCAATATGATGCTCAACCAAATTTGCACACGGTGGACTGAACAATGGCGGCCATGATGAAATTCAGGTCTGAAATGTAAGGCTCGTCGTGGGACCATCATTGTGTCTGCAGAGAAATTATCCATTTTGTTATTTTTCTAGATTCAATGTATTAAGTCCAAAGTTAAAGACTGGGGAAAGGATATCAAAGGCCTGACAGAGGCCAAACGCCAAATGCTTGACATCAGAGGACCCCAGAGGCTGGATGAGATGCCAGAGGCCTGACACCGGATGCTGGACGCCAGAGGCCTGATCCCTGAGGCAGGACACCAGAGGCCTGACCCCAGAGACCTGACCCCCGAGGCCAAGCCCCAGAGGCCTGACCCCAAAGGCCAGACACTAGAGGTTCTACTACACCAAATCAGAACCAGTTTGGACAGTGCGGTTTTCGTAGGGAGCCTTCAGTGCAGATCGAGAGATATCTGCAGGCTGTGATTGGAGGATATTCTGTAAGATTTTTATGACTTTCAAATGTACATCCATCCAGTTATTAAAACTGGTTATATTTAGTACTGTCTTTTTCAACATGATGACTTATGCTGAATGTGACCACAGCTATTTTCAAGTAGGTGACATTTGGTGCGAAACTGGGGGTGGTGTGTTTAGCTTCCTGTACTCGGAAAAGGAGCTGGCTAAGCTAGTCATTTTTTATGTTTTTATTGCTGCTCTAAGGCCAAACTGTGCACACACGTACAGATAGGCTGTTGAATGCTTAGTTATTTTTAAAAAAAATATAACCCTACTATAGAAGTCTATGGGAAAATATTTGGTTGTGCGTAACCTAGAGGCCTGACCCCAGAGGCCAGACACCAGAGGGCTGACACCAGAGATCTGACCCCAGAGGCCTGAACCCCGAGGCATGACACCAGAGGCCTGACACCAGAGATCTGACGCCTGAGGCCTGATCCCTGAGAAAAGGACGCCAGAGGCCTGACAGCTGAGGCCCAAGCCCTGAGGCCAAACACCAGAGGCCAGATCCCAAAGGCCAGACACCAGAGGCCTGACACCAGAGGCCTGACACCAGAGACCTGACACCAGGGACCTGACGCCAGAGGCCTGACACCAGAGGCCTGACACCAGGGGCCTGACACCAGAGGCCTGACACCAGGGGCCTGACACCAGAGACCTGACCCCAGACACCTGATGCCAGAGGCCTGATGCCAGAGGCCTGACCCCAGAGGCCAGACACCAGAGGGCTGACACCAGAGATCTGACCCCAGAGGCCTGATCCCCGAGGCCTGACACCAGAGGCCTGATCCCAGACACCTGATGCCAGACACCTGATGCCAGAGACCTGATGCCAGAGGCCTGATGCCAGAGGCCTGACACCAGAGGCCTGATCCCCCAGGCCTGACACCAGAGGCCTGATCCCCCAGGCAGGACACCAGAGGCCTGACACCAGAGACTTAACACCAGAGGCCTGACCCCAGGGGCCTGACGCCAGAGGCCTGACACCAGAGGCCTGACCCCAGGGGCCTGACCCCAGAGGCCTGATCCCCCAGGCAGGACACCAGAGGCCTGACACCAGAGACTTAACACCAGAGGCCTGACCCCAGGGGCCTGACGCCAGAGGCCTTACGCCAGAGGCCTGACACCAGAGACTTAACACCAGAGGCCTGACCCCAGAGACTGGAATCAAGCGACCTTGGCACAAGAGGCCTGACCCCAGAGACTGGAATCAAGCGACCTTGGCACAAGAGGCCTGACCCCAGAGACTGGAATCAAGCGACCTTGGCACAAGAGGCCTGACCCCAGAGACTGGAATCAAGCGACCTTGGCACAAGAGGCCATACTCAAAGGGTCTCTTACCAGGGGAACTAAGTTTGATGCTAATCCTAGAATACCACACACACAAAACTGAGTGTACCAGAACAAGGTCCAACCTTGTCCTCTGCTGCGAGGACTGCACAATGTGACACACTGACATGCATGCAGCGCTGCACACCATCATGTGCCCTCTCAGAGACATATAACAAGAATGTTCATACGTATAATGCACCAAATCCATGCCCTGAAGCATGCTTGAAGTGAGACAATTTCACCCTGGATCAATTTTCATCCTCAGCTCCCTGGGGAGTATACAACCCTAGCTGCCTGTGAGGCAAATGTAATCAGAGGAAATGATCATTCATAAGAAAAGAGCTGTCATCATACAGATACATGCAAAAACGCTGCTTTAGTAATCTGATCTAGACTCACAAATGATTACCTGCTAATGGTCAATCTGCTCTAGAATACCGAAGTCCTATGTTATTTCGTTTAACAGGACGATGGTGTACCATATGCAAGTTGAGCATAAATGTTCAATGTAGGGCATGCATAACATGTATGAATTAAAAATTAAGGAGAGCATACATTATTAGTATGCATGGCACAATCTGTGTCACTCAGACGGTTACTGCTCTACTTAAAACTGAGATCGAACAATAAAACAGCCATCTTCATAAACAAAATTGGATTCCATGATAATTAGTCAAGGACATAACTGGACGTCTGGAAGCTGAAACTATTCACAGATACCCAGGACCACAACCCAGTTGGTATCCGAATCCACAGAATTCTGAGGATCTTCTGATCTCTGTGTAGTTTGCAAATATGTAGCATCCACGAGACGTTTCAACCACAAAGATTCAGAGGCTAAAAACATATTGATAATATATTCCAATTCCATTCAACATGTTTCATCGGAAAGTCTCAGGGAAAGTATATCAAATTGTGATTGCAAAATAAACATGAGTTACCATATCTTTTTTCAACATATCAAACTGGTTCGTCATCTGCATGATATCATGACATGACATTTAACCTTGACATGAATGACAACCAATAAGAATCCCAATTCCAGATTCTGGGAGCATATATTTCATTCACACATCCAAGTAATGCTTGAAAAGCTGATTGAGTCTAGGTATTAGAAAAGATGTCAGAATCGTAAACATTAAGAAAGACAAGTGAAAATTGCGAAAAAATACATATTTGGACTTAGGTAACAATTAAAGTTACTTCAAATCCATTACATACAGAAGCCAATGAAAAAAAACAACTTTTAATACTTTTAAACTGTTGATATTTGTATGACTAAACGTGATGTAATTTACCTATATGGGGAATTGAACCTGGACCTCGAGCCGGACAAGCTTGTGCACCAGCCGCTGGGCTCGTCTGGCCTTGCATAACCACTGAGTGAAAAAGATGGTATACATGTAATAAAACCATTATAGTCCCTCTCTTGCAGATACTGGACCAGCCATCATGTTTTAACTCCATTTACAACAATTTTTATTCCTCCCTTATTTCAAGGTAGGTTTGTGAAACGAAAGAATAGTTAATGTTAGAGTTGTTCATTTATCTTTGAGCTTCTGCCACTGTCTTGTTTCACCATCCGTGTCATAATGTATTAGATAAGTTTATTTTCATATCAGTTTTTGTTATTATTACAGGTAGATTCTCTAAACATGAAATAAAAAACACATTGATAAAGGGATGTCAGTGACGAGAAACTTGTGAAACAAAATATTTTTTGTAAAAAACATTATTGTTTAACTCTGCACTCAGCAATATTCCAGCTACATGACAGCGGCCTGTAAATAATCAAGCAAAACCAGATAATCCAGTGATATTGTAAGCAACCTCCCAAGTCATCAACTTTGACAACCAATATCCATTGTCGCCTCATATGACAAGCATGGGATACTGGGGACCAATTTTACACTGGACTCCCACAGGGAACAAAATATTGACTAAAATATTGCAAGACTTCAAAGTGCTTAATAAAACTACAAACATTTATAAAACTGAAAAATGTGTGTGACAGAAAAATGTGTGAGTGAGTGATCCAATGACAGATCACCTATTCAATGTTAAATACACATAGTCAATGATACAGATACTGATTCAATGATACAGACACTGATTCAATGATAGATACTGATTCAATGATACAGATTCAATGATACAGATACTGATTCAATGATACCGATACTGATTCAATGATACAGACACTGATTCAATGATAGATACTGATTCAATGATACAGATACTGATTCAATGATACAGATAATGATTCAATGATACAAACACTGATTCAATGATAGATACTGATTCAATGATACAGATACTGATTCAATGATACAGACACTGATTCAATGATACAGATACAGATTCAATGATACAGATACTGATTCAATGATAGATACTGATTCAATGATACCGATTCAATAATGCAGATACTGATTCAATGATACAGACACTGATTCAATGATAGATACTGATTCAATGATACTGATTCAATGATACAGATACTGATTCAATGATACAGACACTGATTCAATGATACAGACACTGATTCAATGCTACAGACGCTGATTCAATGATAGATACTGATTCAATGATACAGATACTGATTCAATGATACAGATACTGATTCAATGATACAGACACTGATTCAATGATACACAAGTTGATACAGTGAGATTAACACCCGGTTAGTGAGACATATTCCTGGTTAACCTGCATAAACAAATGGATACCTGGCAAGGACTAATGGGGTATGTGGTATGAAGCTTCGGAACACTGATGTGATCATCTGCACCAGACAAAGCAGAAATTACTTGCCTGGGCCTACGACAGCCTGGGCCTACGACAGCAGTATGGGACGGGCAGCAGATGACAGATAAAAAGTACAGGGTAGAGACACCAGAGTTACCATGGTCAGGCATGAGTCCCCTAGGTATGGGACGGGCAGCAGATGAGAGACAAGAAGTACAGGGTAAAGACACCAGTGTTACCATGGTCAGGCATTAGTCCCCTAGGTATGGGACAGGCAGCAGATGACAGACAAGAAGTACAGGGTAAAGACACCAGTGTTACCATGGTCAGGCATTAGTCCACTAGGTATGGGACAGGCAGCAGATGATTGACAAGAAGTACAGGGTAGAGACACCAGTGTTACCATGGTCAGGCATTAGTCCACTAGGTATGGGACAGGCAGCAGATGACAGACAAGAAGTACAGGGTAGAGACACCAGGGTTACCATGTAGAGACACCAGTGTTACCATGGTCAGGCATGAGTCCCCTAGGTATGGGACGGGCAGCAGATGACAGACAAGAAGTACAGGGTAAAGACACCAGTGTTACCATGGTCAGGCATCAGTCCCCTAGGTATGGGACGGGCAGCAGATGACAGACAAGAAGTACAGGGTAGAGACACCAGTGTTACCATGGTCAGGCATTAGTCCCCTAGGTATGGGACGGGCAGCAGATGACAGACAAGAAGTACAGGGTAGAGACACCAGTGTTACCATGGTCAGGCATTAGTCCCCTAGGTATGGGACAGGCAGCAGATGACAGTCAAGAAGTACAGGGTAGAGACACCAGTGTTACCATGGTCAGGCATTAGTCCCCTAGGTATGGGACAGGCAGCAGATGACAGACAAGAAGTACAGGGTAGAGACACCAGTGTTACCATGGTCAGGCATTAGTCCCCTAGGTATGGGACGGGCAGCAGATGACAGACAAGAAGTACAGGGTAGAGACACCAGTGTTACCATGGTCAGGCATTAGTCCCCTAGGTATGGGACAGGCAGCAGATGACAGACAAGAAGTACAGGGTAGAGACACCAGTGTTACCATGGTCAGGCATTAGTCCCCTAGGTATGGGACGGGCAGCAGATGACAGACAAGAAGTACAGGGTAGAGACACCAGTGTTACCATGGTCAGGCATTAGTCCCCTAGGTATGGGACAGACAAGAAGTACCGGGTAAACAGTAAATAATTCTATAATGACCCTGACCTTTGACAGACCTGCTGACAAACTATGAAGTAGGACTTGTTACGATACATCAAACATCAAGTTTCATTTCGATCCCATTTAGATAGCATTTCTTTATTTTTATCACCTTTACCCTTCTCATGATGTGACATTACACAGACACAATTCACCAGGGCAGACACAAATTCCACCAAAAGTCAAAACCATCCCATTCGTCAGGGCTGCTTAATTAAAAACCTGCGTAACAGTTGCAGGTAATTCTGAAGCTTGCTTCTTTCTTTGTTCTCTATGCATGCAGTGTGCTGACTCTGCCACACATGTTGAGGTGGCGAGGTGGGCAGCTGCTGTTCTCCAAGTTGGGACAGCCAGCCTCCCACCATGGGGTCTCCTGGTCCTTCAGGTGAATGCATTTTTCAGCAGTTTAATGACACAGATGTCCCTCAATGCCAACTGAGGTTTCAATCAAAGAACAATGAAGAATGTGGAGCTCTTCCTCAATTAATTTCCTTGTTTTACACAATTTGGATGTAAATGTGCAAAATGATTCAGGAATGAATCTGGATTTATTTAAAAATGTCCCTTAATAACACAACGATGAATATATTACCATATCTAGCCTCTATTAGGCAAGGTGTTTTTTGGGGGGTGGAGGGATGTGTCCTTGGCCCAGGGTAGGAGATCTCATGTCTTTTTGTAGCTGTTCAATTTAGGTTCCACTGGCAATGTGTTTCATAGACGGTTATTATATACTTACATACATTCATATACAAAAGAATTTCAGTTTTCTATATTCAAACTCAAATCAATGACAAATATATCTGGTTCAAAAGGAAAAATACCTGAAATATCATAAACCAATAGTTCAAAGTAGTTTTTTTTTCCCACGTTTATGGTATTGGCATTTATACTTTAGTTTCAGAAATTTCACCAAAAAACATCTGGTATAATCCCCAATCACAGTTTCGTTTCTGGACAGTTTTGTTTTATTGACTTTCCAATAACAAATTCATATATATACATAAGGCCGGTCCATAACATACCCAAAATCTCTTTGGGCTTTATGAAAGGTTAGCTTTGTTGAGTTTGTAAACTTTCAGAAGAAGCATACTGCTCAAAAGAAGTTAACTCTTTCAACACCAGTCAACCAGGTGCTGCTATGAGATCGAGTTCCAAGAGACTCTAGGGTGATAGATGAAGTCTACATTTATCAAGGAAATTATCTGCTTGTAAAACTACATATTATACACCAAATAATACATAAATTTAAAGTTATGCTTATCACATTATTTAAATAATGCATTTACAACTTAAGTTTGATTAAATATAAAATGTAAGCTAACACATTCATAACGTCCAGATTAAGCTCAAAGGAAGCGAAAATTTGACAATTTTCAGCAAATATAAGATTTAATAATATCCACTTACCTATTTCTTTTTTATTTTCATTGTTTATTTTAAAAGAAAATTATTTAAAAAAGGATTGTAAATATTATTTGCCATCACCGATTTCCCGATAACAGTGGCTTTCCGCTCAGGAAATACAGGGAAATACCTCCATTTTGGAAGCTTCATATGAATGACTCAACTGTTGAGTCGCTCCATGTTTGGCATCATTGGGAAGCTTATGCCTTCATTACTATGACAGTAACCGCCCCTGGAGTATTTTTGCAGCTGTAACATGCGATTTCATTGGATAGAAATTGGTTTATAATAACCGTTTCTTGCCAAAATCTATTACAAGGTTCGTGATTTGTCAGATTTAAGCACAGGACCTAAAGTAGCCGATCAAATTACAGCAATAGTTACCGTCTTTGTGTATGATAAAATTCAGATTTAGATGAAAGGTTTTGGTTAAATCGTGTTATTCTGAATGTTTTAAGCAGGAAATCTCGACCAATATAAAAAATTTTTGACTTCGTGGATGTTACGAGCTGTGATACAGATTTATAATTCATATATTTTGGCATGTAACATCGCGTCTGAGCAAAGACAGCCGAGAATTTCCATTACACACGATCGAAAGAATAGATTGAAATAATAACTTAGATGTAAGTTTGACAACTTTTAGACATGCTTTTGATGATTTTATTTATTACTTTACATAATTTATTTAAAGATTTCGTTGAAACGTATCTATTTTGCTTTTGGACATGTTCGAAATGGACCCGTTGTCGAAGTGTGTGTCCGAGAAAAAACATTTTAAATAACATTGTGGTACATGATGAATAATTTATTAATCCTTTCGATAAAATATGATAAATGGAACTGAAATACGTATTTCAGACAATGTGAAATGTGACAGATTTAATACATGAATGATATGAAAGGTAGATCAATAAAATTATATACCATTTTGACATGTGCGGTGTCAGGGGACTCATGACTCCTTGGCCTGTATACTGGCCTG